CTGCCCACCCTGATCAGTCAACCTAGCCATGGAAACAGACCCAGCTGGCACCTGAAAGGAGCCAGGTAGAGCTGGAACTGGGAGCAGGGAGCTAGGCTGAAGGAGAAGGGCAGGGAGGAGGGGACCTACCTATTCTGTGAAGCCGAGGCTTCTAGTAGGGGCAGGACACGGTGTGGTCTTAGGATCCTTTGGTTTCAATAATACTGAATTTTTGTTTGTGACAGTTTTTTTCTAATGTATAACTCCTATGGACAATTGGAAAAATACTGAAAATACAAAATGTACAATTTCTAGTATCTTCTATTTGATATACTTTTCTATATCCTTGTTTTATATAAAAGTTTATCAACTTTTCAAAACTCTTATTATGCACTTTTCTATCATTAAAGATTAATGGCTGCATAATATGGGTGTACTTAGCCAATCCCTTGCTGTTGGACATGTAGGCTGTCTCTGTTTTTCTAATTACAAATAGTGCTGTGGTGAACATGGTCTGTTTCTTTGATTATTCGCTTATGATAAGTCTTGGAGTTGTAGGTCCTGTGTTTGAAGAGTGCTGATTCATTCCCCCAAAAGACCACAACAGCCAGGGCTGGGCCAGTCCAAAACCACAAGCCAGGAACTCCCTCCTGGTTTCCCAAATGGGTAGCAGGGGCCCAAGTACTTGGGCTGTCTTCCACCTTCCCAGGCTCATTAGCAGGAACTCTGGATTGGAAGCTGAGCAGCTGGGACTTGAACCAGTCCTCCAGTATAGGATGCAGCGGCTTAACCTGCTGCACCATAATGGCAACTCCTTACAGTGTTTTACTCACATTTTTATTATGATCAAACGTGGTTTTGAACATGCTTCTCAAACATTGTTTACTTAGTCTTCTGAATATATGGTATTTTGTGTGTATAATGAAACATTTTTGTTATACAAACATTATTATTATTTTTTAACTTGTTGAATTTTCTTGTACAAATTCTGAATTACCGTGATGTCTTCAGAACATTCCTAACTGGGATTGAATGTTGGTATTGGTGGAGCCCTCAGTGAGCTACATTGGAACAGGCTTGAGCCTCTTATTTCCTGGCTGGTCTGCCCTCAGGATGCATGGTTGGAGCGTGCCAAGATCACGTGGATAGCAGGAGCAGGCTACGCTGAAAGCAGCTCCGAGTTGTGGCCTGTGCTTCTTTAGAAACATTTGTTTATTTGAAAGGCAGAACAAGAAAGGACGAGATCATCCTGAACAGCCAGGGTTGGGCTGGGCCTGAGCCAGGGACCAGGAAAGCCAGCTTGATGTACTGTGAGGCTGGCGAGGACTCACATGTGATGTATGCTTTGCTGCCTGACTGGGTACAGTGAACTGCGGGAAGCAGGGACCTGAACAGCTACACTGGATTCCTGGTGTTACAAGCCGAATTTTGCTCTGCCACAACACCGGCTGCATGGAAAGGCAGTTACAGAGAGGAGGAAAGACAGAATGATCGTCCATCTGCTGGTTCACTCCCCAGGTGGCCACAATGGCCAGATTTGAGCCAATCTGAAATGAATTTTTTGCAGGTCTCCTGTGTGGGTGCAGGGTCCCAAGGCTGTGGGCCATCTTCTGCTGCTTTCCCAAGTAATAAGCAGGGAGCTGGATGGGAAGTAGAGCAGCTAGATATAAAATGGCACCCATATGGGATACTGGCACTTGCAGGCATAGGATTAGCCAATGATCCACTGTGCTACCCTCTCCCAATCCCCACCCACACCTGTTTGTCAAAGTTATCCTTTTTTATTTTTAAGATTTATTTATTTTTTTATTGGAAAGTCAGATATTCAGAGGTGGAGAGACAGAAAGGAAGAGCTTCCGTCCATTGATTCACTCCCCAAGTGACAACAAGAGTTGAAGCTGAGCTGATCCAAAGCCAGGAGCAGGAATCTCTTCCAGGTCTCCGATGCGGGTGCAGGGTCCCAAGGCTTTGGACCATCCTTTACTGCTTTCCCAGGCCACAAACAGGGAGCTGGATGGGAAGCGGGGCTGGTGGGATTAGAACCAGCGCCTATAAGGGATCCCAGTGCATTCAGTCACTAAGCCACCGCGTCAGGCCCATCCTTTTTTATTCTAAAGAAGCTAGCTAGAGCTCCTTTTGCATGATCTGTAATGCTTTTAGCTCCCTAATAGCCTGGTAAGATTTTCTAAGCCTGGCCAGTGTGTGGCATGTGTTGAAGTGTAAATCCACATACAGGTGAGGTGTGTGTGTTTTATATATTCTCAAGTCCTGGATCCTTCCTGAATGTGGTTCTTTGCATCAGACAGCACCTTTCCTGATTGTTCTACACCCGGACTAGCAGCTCCTGTCCCAACTATATTGAGCAAATCCTTTGGCCCAGGGTTAGTTGGGTCTCGGGGAGTTCAGGAAGGCCTGCAGCTCAACTAGCCGTAGCTGTAGAGTGACTTAATGTCTTCTAATGTTGAGTTCTTGCAACATTTTTCTACTGGAACTTTCTGCCCAGCCTGCAGTGTGCTAGGGCTTTGGATAAAATGTCAAAGAAGATAATACTGTCCTAGTGAAAACAGAAGGCATCACTGAGTCAATGATTTTAGTTGTACTTGGAGTTTTCTCAGCCCATTTCTATCTCAGCAAAGGGAAGCACCTGGCTTTCTTTTGTTGGTAAAAAATATTTTATTCATTTATTTGGTTATATCTTGGTTTCCTTTTTAAAAAAGATGTGTTTATTTGAAAGCATTACAGAAAGAGGGGAAAGCAGATCTTTCCTCACCCGCTCAGTCCCTAGACAGCGCTTGTGGCTTTGACAAGGCTACACTGACGCCATGAACTTCCTCCAGGGCTCCCATGTGGCTGCAGTGGCCCAGGCCTGGGGACCATCCCGCTCCTTTCCAGGCGCATTCACAAGAAGGTGCAGCACAAGGCAGCAGCCAGGACTGGAGGGCGTCGGAGCCAGGGCTGTGCCCGCTCTGTCCCAGTGCCAGCCCCTCCCCTTGGGCTCTGGGCCAGCGAATGCAGCTGTCTAGGAGGAGCTTTACAGCTGGATCCTCTGGCTTCCGACTTCACAGTTCGGAAACTGGAATGTACTCTGCTTAGAGGAAAAATACCCAGGTCGTAGTTGCTGCCATTTGCTAGCATCTGTGCCTTAGACCCTCTATGCTTGCCATTTGGCCCAAATAAATAAAGGACTCTTTTTTTTTTTTTTTAAGTAGTGATTTCTTTCTTTTTTTTTTTTTTTTATTGGAAAGGCAGATATACAGAGAGGAGAGACAGAGAGGAAGATCTTCCATCCGATGATTCACTCCCCAAGTGAGCGCAACGGTCGATGCCATGCTGATCCAAAGCCAGGAGCCTCTTTAGGGTCTCCCACACGGGTGCAGGGTCCCAAAACCTTGGGCCGTCCTCGACTGCTTTCCCGGGCCACAGGCAGGGAGCTGGAAGGGAAGAGGGGCCGCTGGGATTAGAACCGGCGCCCATATGGGATCCCGGGCGTGCAAGGCGAGGACCTTAACCACTTGCGCCACTGCGCCGGGCCCAAGGACTCTTTTTAAAAAAAAAATATATATATATATATATATATATCTCCTTCATGTTTCAACTTCCCCAGAGCATGTTTTTCTTTCTTCTTTTTTTTTTTTTTAAAAGATTTATCTTTTAATTAAAAACATATAGCGAGGAAGATCTTCTGTCCATTGATTCACTCCCCAAGCAACCACAACAGCCAGAGCTGCGCCCATCCACAGCCAGACACCCAGAGCTGCTTCCTGGTCTCCCATATGGGTGCAGGGTCCCAAGGCTTTGGACCGTCCTCGACTGCTTTCCCAGGCACAATCAGAGAGCTGGATGGGAAGCAGGGCTGCTGGGATTAGAACTGGTGCCCGGGCCTGGCATGGTCGCCTAGCAGCTAAAGTGTTTGCCATATGGTAGCTGGTTCTAACCTGGAGAAAGTTCCTGGCTCCTGGCTTCAGATTAGCACAGCACCTGCCGTTGCTGTCACTTGGGGAGTGAATCATTGGATGGGAGATCCTCCTCTCTGTCTCTTCTTTCTGTATATCTGACTTAGCAAAAAAAAAAAAAAAAGAGAATGTGAAAACAGTGGCCTTATCTATTCTCCTCTGTCCTTTGACCCTTTGCGCTATAACCTACTATGTAAAGGTCATCAAAATAAAACAATACTTTAAAAAAACGCACACATAAGGGATCCCGGCACGTGTAAGGCAAGGACTTTAGATGCTAGGCTGCCGCACTGGGCCCAGGATTTATGTTTAAACTTAGTAAGTAATTAAAAGAGTTCTTATATAATGTGACACTCTCCAAATGCCCTGAGCAGCCAGGGCTGGGCAGGGAGCAAATCCAGGAGCTGGGAATGCTGCACGGTGGCAGCAGCGTCTGGACTTGCACTATCACACACCTTCCCAGGTGCTCTGATGGGGTCATAGCTGCTTGGTGTCTAGGATGTGCGGGTGTGTGTGTTTTAAAATTTACAAAGAGAAGGAGATACAGAGTGATCTTCCATGCATTCCCCAAGTGGCTGCAGCAGCCATGGCTGAGCCCGGCTGCTTTCCTTGCACTTTGGTTCAGCCAGTAAGCATCTATTCCGTGCTGGAGAGGTGCACGCCCGGAGTCCCAGGTCCTCCTTTCATTGGTTTCTGACGGCTAGGACCAGTGCGGATCTGTGGGCTGTCTGGGCCACGTGCATGTTGGACGAAAGAGTCCGGCTGTTTACATTCCACGGTGAACACATGGTCCTATGAATCACGGGCTAGCCCTTCTACCCTACCTGTTGTGACAACAGCTCCCTTTCCAACCCTGGTTCTAACAGGAGCCTCTGGTGTGCGGAACCCTTTCCAAGCGCGTCCAGCTTCCTTCACAGCTTCCGGGACAGCCCCTTTGGAGGCGGGGCCAGAGTCGGAACCGCCCATACTTACGCCCATTCTCCCCCGCGCATGCTCGGTATCCAGGCTCTGGTTGGTCTGGAGAACGCGCTAGTTTTTCCCAGGGTGCTCCGCGCTGCTGTCATGGCTGCCTCCTTGAGCTGCTTTCTGCACACGGGGTTGTAGGGCGGTGGATGTCTTTTCGTAACTGAAATCACCACTGGGCGTCTTTGGAGCTTCCTGCTTTCACCTTGCTTTGTTGACTGCTGCGTGAGTCTCGCGGGCATCTGCGTTGGCGATGTCCGGGGTGGCGTGGACCCCGGAGCTGGCCGTCCTCAGGGGCTTCTCCACGGAGGCTGAGCGGCAGCAGTGGACGCAGGAGGGCTTCTCCGGTTCAGGTGAGAGGCTGCTGCGTGGGAGCTGGGTGCGCACCCCTGTTTCTACCCTCCTCCTAACAGGTGGGCGTGGTGCCCTGGTTCCCAGGAGGCCTCACCCCGCCGTGCTCACTCCCCAGGTTCGGTGGCAACGGCAGCTGTGTCAGCGGCTTGAGTACAGCCAGTCCTTTTAGCCCCTGTGTCCACTCAGGGAAGATAAGCAGCACATATAATTTAGTTTGGCGGATGGAAACTTCTACGCACGCAGCTTGCTGGGTGTTCTTTGAGGTGCCTGCTGGGAGGGCGAACAGAGACAGCCAGGGTGTGCTTCTGTCAACAGTTAACATGTAGCAGAGAGGCGAACAGCTCACAGGCACTTGTGCTTATTAGCCGGAGAGGGGCGTCTGGGTGGGGAATTTGGTTGGCCGTAGGGGAGAAATAATGGACAATACGTCAGGACGGTGTGTATGTGTGTGTGGGTGCGCGCATACGTACATGTGTCGGGCAAGAGGAAGTTGAGTCTATGGATCCGAATGCCCTGGTCAGGAGAAATTTCACAGTGGTGAGCTGACCTGCGGTGACAGGGTAAGAGTGACAGAGAGGAGAAGGTTCAGTGGAAGAAGTCACAGGGGTGGTAGAGTCGATGGGGGCCCGTGTGCACAGAGCTTGGGAGGGACGCTGTGAGGGACAGAGAAGGGGTAGGAGCGGTGGGAGTGAAAGCTCCTGAGCTCCAGCCGAGCAAGCTTTTCTGATGGCAGTGACATCTTCAGGAATTTCCTGCCCTCCCTCAATCCCCAAGAATTTGTTAAAGAGGGAAGCAAGAGGGAGAGGAGAGCAAAAGAGAATGTCCCTTTTATTTTTCTCCCAGAGCGCCCTCAGTGGCCACTCTTCCAGGTGTCCACTCTGCATCTTGCGGGTTAATGGCCTGACCTAGTGCTTGAGCCATCATCGCTTGCCTCCCGGGGTCTGTGGTAGCAGGAAGCTGGGCTGAAGAACAGGAAACTCCTTCCAGACCCTCAGAGGGGAAATCCTGGGGTGCCAGCAGGCATCCTAACGACTGTGCAAAATGCCCAGAAGGGTGTGACAAGCTACCAACCAAGTTACTCTGAGTTCAGCTTCCACCTTGTGGCTTAGAGTCAGTACAGGTGATATTTGCTCAGTGCTTTCTGATGAATGTGCAACAAGTGTTGTGTGTGCAGCTTTTTGCATGCTCAAATGGTAGTTTGACCTAACAGTATTATACTTAGGAATATGAAAAAAGATTTATTCTTTTGCATTACTGTCCTCTTTGTTTCTATTCCAGAGAGTGGGTCTTTCGTACAACTGCTGCTAGATGGGATGTGCAAGGCTGTGCTTTTAAATACAGTGACTCAGAATATTTTTAATTCAACCACAATGGCTGAAGAAAAGATTGACAGCTTCCTGGAGAAGAAGATCGTGTCATTCCTTGACAACTCAACAGATTTGGACAAAACAGAAAGGTAGAATTTTATATGAAGAATTAAGAAAAAAGCTTTATTTTTTTGAAAGTTAGAATTATAGAGAGAGAGAGAAAGAGAGATCTTCCTTCTGCTGGTTCACTACCCAAATGTCCATAATAGCCAGAGCTGAACTGATCCCAGACTCGGAGCCAGGAGCCTCTTGACATTTACTTTTTATCTAATTATAGTTCGTTTAAATTTAAATGAGCTGTTTGTGGTTTATAGTTACAATATTGAACATTATATACCTAGATGATTTACATTTCAGAAATCTTTTTAGTAACACTAGGATAGTCTCTGTTAAAGCTGGTTGTCAGTTTTTCCGTGATAAAGTTGTTATGAGATCATGTGCTTTGGTAAGACTGCTTCATGTCTGTTTCTTCAACCATTTTTTATGTGCAGGCAGCAGCTGACATTCCTACTTGGTGTGAGCAGTTTGCAGCTTTTTGTTCAGAGTAACTGGACCGGACCTCCTGTTGATTTGCATCCTCAGGATTTTTTGCCGTCTGTTTTGTTTGAGCAATTCAGCGAGGTATGCCTACTGTCGTAGTGGTGTTGGTTAATAATGACTGGGTCTTCATAAGCTGGAGTTGACAGCAGGAAGGAAAGAATCGTGGCTTTGTGGTTTGTACCTTAATGAGACTTCTTATTCAGATTTTCAGTTATTTACAGAAGTTTCATTGTCCATCTCAACTACTTTTGATATTCCTCATTTAATGGAATTCTGTTAGCTGCTCTTTTTTTTTTAATAAAGATTTATTTACTTTTATTACAAAGTCAGATATACCAAGAGGAGAAGAGACAATGAGAAAGCTCTTCTGTCCAATGATTCACTCCCCAAGTGAGCGCAACAGCTGATGCTATGCCGATCCAAAGCCAGGAGCCAGGAACTTCTTCCAGGTCTCCCACACGGGTGCAGGGTTCCAAGGCTTTGGGCCGTCCTTGACTGCTTTCGCAAGCCACAAGCAGGGATCTGGATGGGATGTGGGGCTGCCGGGATTAGAACCGGTGCCCATATGATATCCTGGCGTGTTCAAGGCGAGGACTTCAGCCGCTAGGCCACGCCGCTGAACCCATAGCTGTTCTTTATATTAAAACACAGACAGTTGTACCATTCTCCCAGTTATATGTATTGCCTATTTACATGAATCTCTTTTCCGGAAAAGGTATGTTTTGGTGCCCTGTTCCAGAATGGTTCCTAGGAAGGTCTCCTGGATACTACAAGCCCTTTCTTAAAATCTGGACCAGAGATGCTCCATGGTGGTGGAGTAATTAACTGTGTATGAAAAGAACATTGTTGACCTGCATTAATAGCTCGTCAGTAAAGCTTATCGTTTGAGTCTGTTGGACAGTTTTAGGCACATATGTGTAGAGCAATGTTAATAAAAGGAATATGATAACTTGGCTGTATCTGTCTTGGTCATCGTGAGCATAGCCATCAGTCACTCGGCCCATAAAAGGGGCTTCCTAACATGTAAAGCTTAGGCAGCATTTGCTGTTACCTGGTTTCTCGAATTAGAAGTAGCCAAGACAGGTGGAATGGAGTTTTTAGAGATAATGTTTTAATAATCTGTGGGGTAGAAAGAGAAATCTACAAAAGCCATGTAATTGGAAAAGCACAATAGTTGGCTTTGTACTCAAGAGCTTGGTGAATTACGATTTACATGAAGCAGTAAAATAGGTGAGATTCATGCTGCTGACCCTAGGAGATGGTTTTTAAAGTCAAAATGAAGGCAGTTTAAAAACCACACTTCATTAAGGTTTTCATCCAGAGTGAGTTATGGAGGGATGGAATGTCCATTACTTACATGGAGTGTGTCGTTTCCTCTCTTATGTGAAAGTTTCTGACTTCTGGAGCTCTGTCACACTGATTAAAATTCCATCACGTGGAGTCATAAGGATTTACTGAGCACTGATAGGCGGTTTGAATTGCACCTAATTCATGCTCAGTGTCAACTTGGTCCTTGCAGATTTGAGGTTTTCTGTGGATGAGAAGACCTGAAACTCAGAATGGAGGAAGATACTTGCCAAAGGTTTCGTAGTTGAGGGACTAGAATCTATGTTGTCTGGTTCCAAATCCAGTGTTCTTTTTCCTATGGAAGTGTAGAAGCACTTGTAAACTCAAGTAACACTTCCAAGTGATTATGTGAAAAGTTGAGACTGTAAGAGCTATTATTAACTAAGAGGTTTTTGGAAACTAGGTTTTGGCAGACAAGACCTTTTAGTTGAGCATGTACCTTGTGCTGAAATTAGTGGTAAGTAAGTAGAAAGTGGATTGGTAGAGAAGAGGGGGAAATGCGTCTGGTGAACTTGCACAAATAGAAATCAAGAGGAGAGAAGAGCGTGCGGCTTTTGGGGAAAAAGTGATCCTAGTGAGCTTCGTGGATTAGAACAAACTATCAGACCGGATGGGTTTCAGATCAGACCATAGGAAACTGTAAGTAAGACATTGGAACTGCCTCAGATACGCAAGAGAACATATGAGACGTGCGAAGTAATAAGTTGTGTTTATTCCTTAGTTTGAGAGGTAGAGCATTACTGGCGGCATAAAATATATCTGTTCACATAGTTGTTGGTTATTGATTCCTGTTTCTGCAACTGTCAAGGGCTGGGGCTCTTGAGTGCCTACAGCTCTTCTCTGTTTAGCAGCCTTCTCTGTTGGCCTGTTGTGCTCTGTGCTGAATACCGCCTTCCACTGGTGTGGTTCTGCAGGGCTGGGAAATGCTGCCGGAGGAGATGCCCTCTGTGGGCTTTCTGAAGCATCCTTAGCCCTGCTGTCTCAGGAGTCAGTCTCACAAATTCTTTGCTTATCATTCCATTGCTTTTCTTGATGCTTTTCACAACTGTGTTGGTATCCATGAAAACATTGTGAAGTGTTGATTTTTGGACTTTATGTTAGTGAAGAAGCCTGCAATATACATTCATTATGACTTCCTTTGTGCAGTGATGTAATTTTGAATCTACACTATTATTCATTTTTAGTGTTATATAGTTTTTTTGGTTGTATGAAGATACATATCCCAATTTATATATCTGTTGTGCTGTTGATTGGTTGTTTCCAGTTTTGTCCGTAACTTATAGTGCGATTAGGAACATATCTGGAAATTATTGGCAGAACTTTAAGAGCATTGCATACTTTGAAAAATCCCAGTATTTGCTGAAGTGAGCTGAGAGGGGCAGCTGTTTTTACTGTTCCTGGCTGCACTTGGCCATCCTGAATATTGAGGCCATCACTCTTTTAAGGGATTTAAAAACCCTTCTCAGCAGAATCTGAAGATCTGTTGTCTCCATCTGTTTGCAAAACAGCAAATTCTTGTAAACTAGGTGACTTTAAAACATCAGAAATTTGTTTTTCCTGATACTGGAAGCTGGGAAATCTGTAAATCAGGTGCCAGTGGATTTAGCACCTGTGAGAGACCACCTCAGCAGATGGGGCTGCCTTGTCTGCGTTCTCAGCTGCTGTGAAGCCTGGCTAGCTCTCTGAGGGCTCTCCTGAGGCATCAATCTTTTTTTTTTTTTTTTTTAAGATTTTTATTTTTTATTATATTGTTATATTTTTATTTTAAAAGATCTTCTAAAATGATTTTTATTGGAAAGTCAGATATACATAGAGGAAGAGAGACAGAGAGGAAGATCCTTCGCCCATTGATTCACTCCCCAAATGCCTGCAATGGCCAGAGCTGAGCTGATCTGAAGCCAAGAGCCAGGAGCTTCTTCCAGGTCTCCCATATGGGTGCAGGGTCCCAAGGCTTTGGGCTATTTTCGACAACTTTCCTATCCACAAGCAGGGAGCAATATAGGAAGTGGGGCTGCTGGGTTATGAATCGGTGCCCTTTTGGGATCCTGGTGCATGTAGGGCAAGGAGTTTACCCACTAAGCTACTACAATGGGCCCAAGGTATCAGTCTTAAACCCTTGTCTTGGAGATGAGGATTTCCGTATATGAATTAGAGGGGAACATGAACATTCATATCATATCATGCTACATTACATCTGCAGAAATCTAAGGGTTGAGTTTCTGTGTAGGGTTGTTCAACTTTCTTGGGTTTCATGCCAGGCTGTTGAAAGTTTTAGAATATATGGTCTTTTTTTTTTTTTTTTTAAGATTTATTTGCTTTTATTGAGATAAGGCATGTTCAGGGTGGTATGGCTGTAGATGGGTGTGGCCTATTTGCTTTTATTGAAAAGACAGATTTACAGAGAAAAGGAAAGACAGAAAGATCTTCCATCCACTGGTTCACTCCCCAAATGACTACAAAGGCTGGAGCTGAGCCAATCTGAAGCCAGGAGCCAGGAGCCAGGAGCTTCTTCCAAACCTCCATGTAGGTGCAGGGTCCCAAGGCTTTAAGCCATCTTCTACTGCTTTCCCAGGCCACAAGCAGGGAGCAGCATGGGAACTGGAGCAACTGGGACATGAACCGGCACCCATAAGCTGCTAGTGTTTGGAGGTGGAAGGTTAGCCAATTGAGCCAGTGCACCAACCCCTAGAATGTATAGTCTTTCCTAGCAGTCTGAGGATGGAAGCATTTAGTTGAAAGACACAGTAAGTTAAAGTTTCGAAGCTAGGGAGTGGCACATGAGTGTATTTTAGCTGGCATTTTCCCATGCTGATTTATTTTTCTTCTTGTAATGTACAAATATTTGTGAACATGCTTTGTGGTGATAGAATATAGTCATCAAAGCAAAAATAATTTCTCCCTATTTCTAACAGGATCTTGGCATTTGTTGAGCTGTTTTTCGAGACTGGAGCTTGTCCAGTGTGCTGAGGCTGTTGGCCTAGCAGTGGGTCATCTGTCACATGTGCAGACTAAGCTCGTGGGAATCTGCTGCTATATTAAGTTTGTCTCGGGCTCCCACATGTCAAACTTTTTCCAGTATTATGCTGATAAATATGCATTTTTATATGTCATATGCGCTCATCACTGAGGATTGTTCTTCAGGGAGTTATAACCTCTGCTTTGTCTGTTTTTATTGAGAATATAAATAATCATCTTTAACACAGACCTTTTGCAAATTTTCTGGAAGCACATTTAGAACTAAGTTGGAATGTCAGTGTTAGAACACAGGGTGAGAAGAGTTAGAAAAAGATTTAAGTATTTTATGATGCTGAATGAGTAACAGTGGGAAAGCAGATTGGTTTGTTTATTCATTTACTCATGTCTTTATTATTTTCTTGATTTGTTAATACTTTCTCTAGAGAGCTCTGAGTTCAAAAGTAGGAGATTTGGTGACTTCTGACTTTAAGTACCAGAGGTAGCAATATCCACCTAGTATATAATGGGTTATCTCCTTGTTTAATTTAGTTTCTTGTGCTATAAGTTACTTGTTTGCTATTTCTAGTTAGGCATTTTGTTTAGACAATAATAATCTGAAATTTGATAGCCATATTTCCCAAAAGCATTGGAATAAAAATTATCGTTGTTTTTTTTTTAAAAGGCTTTGAAGGAGTGATAGCGAGGGAGAGCGATATTCCATCTGCTGGATGGATCACTTTCCAAATGCTGCAGTGGCCAGGGACGGGCCAGGCCAAGGCAGGGGCCAGGAGTTTCACTGGGTGCAGGGACTGAATACTTGGGCTGTCTTCCACTGCTGTCTTAGGCACCAAAGCAGGGAGCTGGATTGGGGCTGGGTTGGAGCTGGAGCAGCCAGGACGCAAAGCAGCTGCCATGTGTGGTGCCCTGCTCTGCCGCAGTGCCAGCCCAGCATGCTTTGTGTTAAAGTCAGGCTATGACTTCTGCTGCTGCGTTAGTTTGGCTTAGCTGTTAGAAGATTTCACAAAGATGGAGATACAGTTTGGACACATTGGACAAATTCTTCTCTTAAGCACTTTATAAATTTTTAAATATATATATGTATTTGGAAAAGAGAGAAAGAGAGAGACAGAGAGGGACTGACTCCCGTCCACTGGTTCACCCCCGTATACCAGGACGGTTTGAACTCGGGAGCTGTGGGATCAGTTTTGGTCTCCCGCCTGAGTGTGGGAAACCCCACTACTGGAGTTGGCACCCTGCTTCCCAGCCCTGTCTGTATCAGCAGGAAGCTGGAGTCAGGAGATGAACTCTGGTATTGAGACAAGCGTTGTGAGCTTCATAGCTGTTATGCTAAAGGCCCGTTTTTCTGGAATTGTTAAATCAGTTAATTAAATCGTGTATACAAGATACCTCAGTAGAGTCTGAACTTGTGATGAAGTTCTTCTTGAAAATAAATCTTCCTCTAATGTCTGTATCTCAATTTTCATGCTGCCATGATGTAGTTTTGCCAGTCAGAAGGCTAAAAGTCAACTTTGCCTGGTCCTTGGCCTTGCCCAGTGGCAGGAAGAGGCAGCCAGATCTGTGGTGAAGCCAGGCTGGGGTGCTAGGAGCAACACTGGTTTGACATGTGCAAAGTTAGTAGTAGATCTGTTTCTTCTAAAATGGAAGCAATTGTAATTAACTCAAAATAGTTCCTTAATTGTTTTTTTTAATCCTTCCACCTGTAGAGTTGAGAACAGTTTTATTTGCAGCACTGTGATGGTTAACTAAAGTTACAGTCTGTTTTTCTGTATTTGTCAATGAAGATGAAATGAAAATGGAGAATGAACCCACAGTTATTTCTTTTATGCCTTTATTAAATTTCTTAAATTATGTTCAAAATATTCAATATTCAAAGTATTTAATTACTGTTGAACTGCTTTATAGTGTCACTTAGATTATACAGTTTAATTCATTTAAAATGCTTTTATTGGACCTGGCACAGTAGTCTAGTGGTTGAAATCCTTGCCTTGCATGCATCAGGATCTCATGTGGAGGTCAGTTTGTGTCCCAGCTGCTCCACTTCCCATTGCCTGGGAAAGCAGTCAGGGAAGGCCTAAGGCCTTGGGAGCCTGTATCCACGTGGGAGACCCAGAAGAGGCTCCTGGCTCCCAGTTTTGGATCTACTCAGCTCCACTTACTGTGACCACTTGGGAAATGAATCAGCACATGGATGATCTTTCTCGCTGTCTTTCATTCTTTCTGTAAGTCTGAGTTTCCAATAAAAATAAATAAATCTTTTTTTAAAAAAATGCTTTTATTATCATTATTTCAGAGACAGAGATGTTGGGGAAGAGAATCTCCCTCTGGTTCACTCCTCCAGTGCTGAGACTTGAACTAGGCTCCTAGATATGGAGGTGGGCATCCCAAGTAGCAGGCTAACCACTGTGCCAAACACCCACCCCTGTTTAATTCTTAGAGGAACCTTATGAGATACAGGTTTGGTTATTTCATTTTACGATTGATGAAGCTGAGACTCCAGCTACACAATTTGCTCATGTCTGCAAGCTAATAAGCAGAGAAAGGAGCAGTGGCGGGATGAGGCGTCGTTGCTGTGGTGTAGTAGCTAAGCTAGCCTTCCATTCCACAGGGGCATTGGTTTGAGTCCCGGTTGCTTTGTTTCTCAAGCAGCTCCTTGCTAATGGGCCTGGGGTAGCAGTGCTAGACAGTTCAGTTGCTTGGGCCCTGGACCCGAGTGGGATACCCAGTGAAGCTCCTGAATCCCAAGGTGCAGTGTGACTCAGCCTTGGCTGTTACGAATCAGGGGTTGGAAGATTCTCTCTCCTTTTCTCTCTCTATAACCTTGACTTTCAAATAAATAAATTAAATCTTATGTTTTAAAACACTGACATTTTAGTTTTTTTTTTTTACACAAGTGAGGAAAAGATGCTGTCCTTTGCCCGGGATGTCAGAGTCCTCTCTCTAAGAGTTATGTATGCTTATTGTCTGTTTTGTGACTGTTGTTAAGTTTCTGCAGTAGACATTTTAGAAACACATGTACTTTGTTCATTCTAGAAAGTCTGTGGGTTTTTCTAGAATGTTTTTGGTAGGCCTTAGCCTGTTCATGCTGGTCCAAGGTTGAGGCCTGCGCAGCATTGGATCTGTGGGAAGCGTGATTGTTTGACTTCAGCAGGAGTTTTGGAGACATGCTTTGTGGTGGCACTTGCCAGCTTGTAAAGCAAACAAGTGAAATGTGGGTGTTTAATAAAATCCCCGACATAACATTTTTTGTTAGAGTGATTATTTTATTGCAGGTAGATATATGAAGCTGTGATGTTCATTGAGTGCCAACGTTTTCTTGAGTTACTTCTTCCTTTATTTAAACTTTTTTTTTTTATTGACTTCCTTATTCCTCTAAAATTTGAGCCTGTGAGGGCAGGCTGGATTAGATTTTTAAGGCATTTGCAATGTTATGGTTCTGTTCAGTGCCAATTACTATGTAATAGATGAATGCCTTTGTTTCAATGTTAAATTAGCTCATAAATCTCTGTATTACTACAGGACATGCAGACATCATTGCTTTGTTGATTTCATCATTTTAGATTACAGTTTTCTTTTTTTTTTTTAGGCCAAAGGACTGGATGCAGCTGTTCTGAGCCTGCTTGTTCTAGATGGTGAGTCAATCTACAGCTTGACTTCCAAGCCAGTACTGCTTCTGTTAGCACGGATCATCCTGGTGCACCTAAGAGACAAACTGACAGCTATTCAGGTAAGGGGAGCAGAGAATCCATACTCTGGTCACATAGTCCATTCTCTGCGTTGGAACAAAATAGATCAGATGGGGTCATTTATTTTATTATTTGCATTTATTTGAAAGGCAGAGAAAGAGACAAGGATGGAGATCGTCCATCTGCTGATTTGTTTCTTAACCTGTGGGATTGTAAGACCAGAGCCTGTAACGCACTCTGGCTCTCCAAATGAATGGTAGAGATTCAAGTGTTAGAACCGTCGCCTGCTGCCTCTCAGGATGCACATTAGCAGCAAGTTGGAATTGGAAGCAGAGCCAGGATTCAAACCAAGGTTTGCAGTGTGGTGACATACAACCAGCGACTTAACCCTCTGCACTAAAATGCACTACACGACTGAATAATTTATAAAGGAAAGGTGTTTATTTAGTTACCAGTATTGGAGATTGGAACTCCAAGATCAGACACCTGTGTTTGGTGAGGGCCTTGTGCTGTAATGTTGTAATGGAAAGTGCAAGAAGAAGAGACAGAACATGAGGAAGAACCTCTCTCTACACAGCCTGCTCTTGTAGTAACCAGTTCATTGGTAATGAGGAAGACATTAATAAAACCTAATGATCTGATTGCTGTGTTTACTTATTTATATTTATTTTTTATTGGAAAGGCATATTTATAGAGAGAAGGAAAGACAGAAAGATCTTCCATCTATTGTTTCATGCTCAGATCGCTTCAGCGGCCAAGGTTGGGCTGTTCTGAAGTCAGAGCCAGGAGATTCTTCCGGGTCTCCTTTGTGGATACAGAGTCCAAGGCAGTGGGCCGTTTTCTACTGCTTTCCCAGGCTCTAAGCAGGGAACTGGATGGGAAGCAGAGCAAGGACCCATGTGGGATATTGGCTGTTGAAGGGAAGGATTAGCCAATTAAGTCAAATCCTCTGTACTCAAGTGGCTGCAACAGTCAGCTGAGCTGATCTGAAGCCAGGAGCCAGGAATTTCTTCCAGGTCTCCCACATGGGTGCAGGGTCCCAAGGCTTTGGTCCATCTTCGACTGCTTTCGCAGGCCACAAGCAGGGAGCTGGATGGGGAACAGGGTCTCCAGGACACGAACCAGTGCCCATATGGGATCCTCGTGTATGTAAGGTCGGGGCTTTAACTGCTAGGCTACTGTGCCAGGCCCAAGACCCTTCAATTTTATTATTATCTATATACGGGGAGATGGAGAGAGCGAGAGAGAGAATGAGAGATAGCACTCCTTTCTGCTGACATACTTCTCCAGTGCCAAGTGGAAGCTGGGAGCTGTAAAATTAGTGTCGATTTGCTGTTTAGTTACCAGGGACTTAATACTTGAGCTATCTCCCAGAGTCTGCATGAGCAGAATGCTGGATCGGGAACTGGGTTTAGGATGTGAATCCAGGCACTGCTAAGCCAATAGCTCACCACAACCCTTTTAATTTATACTTACTATATTATATTTACATTATATTTGAGAGCCAGAAACAGGGAGAGACAGACAGCTAGAGAGGTGTTACCATCTACTAGTCCACTCCACAAATACTTGTAATGGTCAGAATGGGTCCAGTGCTGAAGCTGGGAGCCTGGAGTACTCATGCCATCTGAATATAGCACGTGGATTGTAGGAACCCAACTGCCTGAGGTGTTGCCATTGCCTCACAGGTGCTATGCTATGCAGCTGGTATCTGGAACCGAGGCAGAGGCTGAGCCAATGTGGGCCATGGGTACACTCTGGCATCTTAACCACTGGGCCTACTACCTAATCATCTCTGAGGCCTCACTTGTTAACACTACAGAAATGGCAGTCAAGTTTCAGCCTGGGTTTTGGAGAGAATAATCTGCATCCAAAACATAGCAGCACGTGTGACTTTTGAACTAATTAATTAGTATCTGATTGTAAGTATAATGCTGATGCTTCCTGGTTATTTTTCTGCATGTTTATTTTCAAAATCTGATGAAAATAAGCAAAAGATTTCTCTCAGAAATTTAGCTAGTATAAAATGAGATTATATTGAGCCTCTTTTATAGGATTATGTGTGTTCATTCTCAGAATTTTAAGCTTATGTTGAGAAAGAACCTTCATATTAATTTTGTATAAACATGATAAGCAACACCTAGAATACAGTGGCTCTTTGTTACCGTTTCTTGGCTCAGTCTTACTTTTTTGCTGTTTGGATTGAGTGCAATAGTACGTTTGTTCAGTGTCTGGTATGATTTAATTCATGTGTAAACCAGTGAAGAGAAAGACTCATCCACAGCAAGCTAATGTGCAGTGGCAGGTGACTGGACCCCCAAGAGGGAGACAGAGCCTTTGGAGACTTCCTGAGGGCTGTTTGCTCTGTTATAACTGCACTTCTGCACTGTGCTGGGAAGGCAGTGAAGTTGATGTGTAAAGGAGGGTTGGGTGTTTTGCATCATACTTAAAATATATATTCAGACGTGTGTCTCATGTCAGTGCCTGCGTTCTAGACCTGGCTCTGGCTCCTGATTCTGACTTGGTGCCAATACAGAAGCTGGGAGGCATAGTGAAGGCACTGCTGCTGAACTCATGCCACCCTTGTGGGAGACCCGGATTGAGTTCCTGCTCTTTGCTTGCCTCGCCCCCCAACCCTGGTTGCTGCAAGCATTGGGGAAACGACCTGGCAGATGGAAACTATTGTCTCTACTTCTTAAAATGTAAAAACCTTTTTAAAAACGTAAATGAATGGACATGCGTGTGTTGTAAGAAAGCTTTATTTAAATTTTGATTTAAACTACATGCAGTTTTTACTTGACATGAGGTATTGGTTTTGATCTTTTTTTCTCAGTGATTGAAAGGCATAAAACTAGTTTTAGTTTAGATAGTGTAAAAAAAAAAAAACCATAGTGTGCACACAAGCTTCCAATAATCCCTACTGTCTTTTGTTGTTACAACTGGATTGATTATAGATACCACTTCCATGTTGTCACAAGTTGTAAATCTGAATTTTGCACGAAATCTTCCAATGTTTATGTGTTGGTTTGAAATATTTAACATATACAATACTTCTGTGACTAGTTGTATAATTGCTATGTATTGCTTAATTACTTTCCTCTCCACGCCTGTAAGTTGAGAGATTGGCTTTGGTTTAGAGAGGTGAGTACTGTGGTATTGTAAATGAAGCATCACTTGGGGTGCCTGCAGTATTACAGGTTCAAGTCCTGCTTCTGCTTCTGATGCTCTGCATCCCGGGAAAGAGCAGGTGGTGATGCCTCATGTCAGTGGATGTGTATCACCCTGTGAGAGACCCTAAGGCAGTTCTGGGCCCTGGCTTCGGTTTGGCTCCATCCTGCTGTTGCAGGCATTTGTGGAGTGAGCTATCTTTATCTCGATCTCATTCTACTTACTAATTGTTAATTAATTGAAGAAGGGAGAAGAGAGTTAATGCCTCCGTCAGCAGCTCTCCGAGAAGCCAGAGGGTTTGGAAGTGGCTGTACTAGAATGGCTTTTATTTTAGTTTTCCTTATTTTAAAAGCAGAGTGACAGAGTAAAAAACAAAATAAATAAAGCTCTGTCCATTTCTTCATTCCTTTGCAAGTGCCTGCAGCAGTCTGAAGCTGGCACCCGGATCGCCAGGTGGGTCTTCCACGTCCAAGTCTTCCACTTGGGTGTCAGGGACCAAATACCTGAACCTGTCACTTGTGGGAGAGTGGGCGTGAGATGTTACACTTATGAAGATGTGGAAATGGATTTTTTTTTTTACCATTGAAAACGTAGCAGTGGATAGGTAGTGGATAGGTAAGACTAAGTTTAAATTCGTGAATAGCAAGCAGTTTAGAAAATGGATCTCAGTTAAAGTAAAACTTTTTTTTGCCAAGAATTTCTTATTTTCACTTGCCTGGTGCTTTTCCCCTAGAGCTTGCCGTGGTGGACTCTGCGGTGTGTGGCTATTCACCAGCAGCTGCTTGAGGAGCGCTCGCCGCAGCTCTTTGCTCTGGCTGAGGACTGCATTGGTCGAGGTATGTGGCAGTGGCAGTGGCAGAGCTTTCCTGGCTATGGCTGTGGAACTCTGTTCTATTTTCTTTTTATCTTTCTGTGAAAAGTGTTTGGGTTAGTTTTTGGATTACAGAAAAGTTTTACAAACAAATTTAGATTATCAAACCATATATATTTTTACAAGGCTGTAGACAACTCTAGGTTGTAAGCTCTTTGAGGACTGGAATTTTCTTTTAAACTTGTTTCTACTTCGCACATTGTCTAGGAAGTAGTAAATGTTTGCTTTGTGTTTCATGAAAAATACCAGAACACAGTGAGATTTTACTTTGTAGAAGTTTTTTAGATGAAAATTGTTGCCTCTAAGAAGCAGTGCCTGTAACTGGGAATACTTGTCCTTGTCGATCTTTTTTTTTTTTTTTTTAATTTAATTTTTAATATTGTTTACCTAGTTGAGAGATGCATGTGCATGTTGACCTCTGATTAAGATGAGCAGGTCAAGGGAAGGTGGATGGGATAAATGTTTCCATTTTTTCCTTCCTCTCCTGTATCTGTCGGCTGTTGAGGTGGCAAGGTGTGGGAGGAGGGAGGGTCTCTGCTATCAAACTGCATCAGTACCCAGGGGTGGGGGATGGTGATTTGATGACGCCTTTGAGATCCCAGCATGGGGAAGAGTGTTCCAAGGGTGTTACTTGAGTAGTTTTTGTATTTCTGAGACATTATCAACTTTCCTCATCAGGGCTGAGAAAATCTTCCCAGGATTGTCCAAGATTGGAGTGACCAATCCACCTTAGTGCATCCACAGACCCCAGACATTTGCTGCAAAGTTTGGCCTGGAGAGTTGTGCAGTCTGTTCTGTTTTCCATTCTCTGATGAGGCGGTTGATATGCTCTGCTGGCCTAGCTGAGCTGGCCATCATGTCCCCCTTGTGCATCTGGGCATGCTGTCTACTGTAGAGGCATCAGCTGTGAGGAGGCCCAGTCCTGATACATGCTCTCCAAGGTTGGACCATGTGCCTTGTAATTTTTCCCTGTGGTTGGGGTTTGAGTCCAGCAATATAGTCTGGGAGTCCTCCAAGAAATCTCCCCTGGGATGACCTCAGATTTGACTCCTTTGTGCACCAGCCAGTGCAGGGTCGGGTTTGGTCTGTAAGCTATACCAACCATTAGTCAGTAGATGGATACTGTGGCCTAGCCTAACCCAGCCTGCTGTAGGCCTTCTCTTCATGCATATCTGTGGGTGCTGCAGCACAGTTGAAGCAACCCCCTTTAATTCCCACTAGGTGCCCCCTAGCCCTGGGTCCAGTGCTCATGGGTAGAAGCTGGAAACCATCAGAAGGGTGCTCATAATTTCCCTAATTTGCTCATCTCAGCACTGGATCTTGCGCATTCTAGGCAGTTCTTAGGTCTAGCCTGATGTGACTTTCCCCCAGTTCTAGCACCTGCTAGCTGATGCTGCAGCAAAGCCCGACCAGCCTAAAGTTCTAGCTGATGCTTTAGCAAAGCCCGACCAGCCTGCACTTACTGTGGCTCATGCACCAATGGATATGGTTGCCTTGTCCAGCTGGCTCTCCCCCTAACGGAGCTCACATACAGGCCAACAGGTTTTTTTTTTAATTTTTAAAAAAAATTTTTATTATATTTTTATTGGAAAGGCGGATATACAGAGAGGAGAGACAGAGAGGAAGATCTTCCGTCCGATGATTCACTCCCCAAGTGAGCACAACGGCCGATACTATGCCGATCCGAAGCCAGGAGCCTCTTCCGGGTCTCCCACGTGGGTGCAGGCTCCCAAAGCTTTGGGCCATCCTCGACTGCTCTCACGGGCCACAGGCAGGGAGCTGGAAGGGAAGTGGGGCTGCCGGGACTAGAACCAGCGCCCATATGGGATCCCGGGCGTGTAAGGCGAGGACCTTAACCACTTGCGTCGTGCCAGGCCCTGAATGCAACAGGTTTTGTAGCCCTGCCCAGCCTGGTCTCATCTCTCACACTCAACCACAGGAGCAGTGGCCCAGCAGAGGAGCCCCCGCAGTCCCCCTACTGGGCATGCCCCTCTCCTGCTGGGTTTTATGTGTGTTGGTGGATGCTGCAGCCTAGTCTGGCATGGCCTGCCTCACCTCAGCATTCACTGGTGGGTGTTGCAACTGGGCTCGCCTGGTCTGCCCCTAGTTCCAGTTCGTGCTGGCAGGCCTGCCCCCAACGAAGTCAGGAACTACTTCTTTTTTTAAATTAAGATTTATTTATTTTTATTGCAAAATCAGATATACAGAGAGGAGGAGAGACAGAGAGGAAGAGTTTCTGTAGCTTCCGTCCGATGATTCACTCCCCAAGTGGCCAAAACGGCTGGTGCTGTGCTGATCCGGAGCCAGGAGCCCAGGTCCTCTTCCGGGTCTTCCACACGGGTGCAGGGTCCCAAAGCTTTGGGTTGTCCTCGCCTGCTTTCCCAGGCCACAAGCAAGGAGCTGGTTGGGAAGTGGAGCTGCCAGGATTAGAACCGGCGCCTGTGTGGGTTGCTGGCGTGTTCAAGGTGAGGACTTTAGCCGCTAGGCCACGGCGCTGGGCCCAAAGTCAGGAACTTCTTACCAGTCAGCCGTGTGGGGAGAGGGGCCTGAGCAGTTGGGCTATCTCCTACTGCATTTGCAGCCCTTTAGCAGGGAGCTGGATGAGAAGTGGAGCAATTGGAACATGAGCCGGTATCCACATGGTGTGCTGGAATCCTGTGTTCCACGAGATGGCTTTACCCAGTGTGTGACTATGCTGGCCCCTCCTGCAAATATTTAATTTTGTGTAAAGATTGTTCCTTTTTATTGCACAGTAGTTATATATACATGACCAAGAAATAAAATGTCACTAGGTGTTTATTTTTCAAGGAAATAAAATTTAATGCAGTTGCTTTACAGAAAGATATTTGTTCCCTTAATTCTGTATAATGCTGTATTGTATAACTGCATTTATGTCCACATCTTTACCACAATCAGTGATAGTGATGATTACCCTTAATTAATAAGAAGAGAAAAAACATTGCCCATGTGTTTTTTTTAAGGTTTACTTTATTTTTACTTGAGAGGCAAATTTACAGAGAAGAAGAAACAAGAGAGGAAGATCCTCCTTCTGCTGGTTCACCTGCACATGGCTGCAGTGGCCGGAGCTGAGCCATCCCAGAGGCAGGAGCCAGGAGCTTCTCAGTTGTCCCAGGTGGATGCAGGCTCCCAAGGCTTCGAGCTTCTCTGCTTCTTTCCCAGACCACAGGCAGGGAGCTTGATTAGAACTGGAGCAGCCGGGACACAAACTGGTGCCCATATGGCATGCTGGCGCCATACGTGGAGAATGAGCTTCCGGACCCGCTCCAGCTTATGTGTGTGTGTGTTTTTTTTTTAATAGTAGAAACTACATGGTATGTGTTAAAGAGTTCTAATGGCAGAGTTAAAATTAAATGCTACAACAGAAAGTTAGCTCATATATCTAGAAAATGTGACTTTAAGTGACTCATTCCCCAAAAGACTACAGTTCTTTTCTGCACTGTATTTCAGTATGTCATTTGCTTTTCCTTGTGATCAAGAGCTTTTTATCTTGCTCTTATAGCCTATTCAACTACATTCTTCATTTTTATCTAATCATAAATTAGTGACCAGACATAATTAGACATTTTGGCTAAATTGTAATCTTTCATAAATAATTTTAAAAGCGTTTCATTCTGCAGCTTGACCCTAATGCTGACCAGTTTAACTGAAAAATACTGCTAAGTGTCCAGAGAAAGATATCATATTTGAAATGTTGCCCTTGAAGGATGCTCACAAAGTTGCCAAAATCGTTTTCTTTCTGTGGAAACTAATCGAAGGGCTTTGTGGCCAGTTGTGATCCTTATGGTTCTGTCCAGGGATGTTCCATAGGCCAGGTGGAATATAGCCCGTCAGAATGTCAGCGCATCTTGGCTGGGATGATCACATCTGTGAAGGGAGTGGGTTACAATCTTGACAAATGCGTTCCTCAGCGCAGTCTAATGTGTTTTGATAGTCACGGTGAGGGGAGCCACAGCTGTCTCAGGACTAAGTAAAGGCTCACAGCAGTGTGTTGCCGGGAACACATGTTCCTGTAAGTGCATGGGATGTAACAGTTATCTGAAAGTCAAGTCAGGAAGCCTGTGAGAACACAGGTGAAAATATTCCCCTCCAAAGTTTGGCTGTGATATGTACAGGCAGCCCTGTGGCTGTGGAGTAAGTTTATTTCTTCACTGAGAGCTGTTCCAGAGATTAATCCCTTGTGACTGATGGTGTATGTCTTTTTTTCTCCACAAATTTGATACGTTGGGCTGGAGATGATTGAATATACTAAGTATGATGTATCCATAATTTACATAGAAATGTAGTTTTCGAATAAATTTATTTTAAAAAATTTAATTGGACAGTATAGAGTAAGAGAGGAAGTAAGTGAATCGAGAGAGAACTGCCCTCTGCCAGTTCACTGCCCAGAGCTTTAGCTAGGATTGGGCCAGGCCACACTGACCCACGGCCCCCCTGTGGAGAGCTGGCACTTGGTTCCCTGAGCCGTGGTCACAGCCTCCCAGGGTCTACGTGAATAGGAGGCCAGTGTGAGGGGCTCAGCCAGGAGTAGTACCCGGGCAGCTCTGGTGTAGGTGGGCGCAACAGGGATCTAACTGCTGGGCTGACTGCTTGTCCCTCAATACAGGTTTTACATGCACTCATTGATGTTTTTGGGAGTGATCACAAATTCTAGTATCCATGAAGGACCTACAGACTTATTAAAATAATAAATATCTGTCTCTCGCATTCATTTGCCCCTCTTTTCATTTGTATGCGAGTCAAAACTTGGTGTTCCTAATTTCCATTGTACCTGTAGCCAGTGTTGAAATCTTACAGTTCTTCCCTAAGGGAACTGTGTCTTCTCTTTGGCATTCCTTCAGCTCTTATCCTGCTCTGTAATCCGAAATTTGGAAAGGTGTTTTAGAGATTGTCTTGTCTAGCTAATTAATTTTGCAAAGAATTGGGACTCTGAGACATTGCCCAGGA